ATTACTTTTCCCTTCTCTATTTGCATTTTCTCCCTTCCATTTGCAATCCCCCTCAAAGCCCATACTTCCATTTGCAGCACAGCATTGGGGAAAGGCAAAATACGCTTTTCTCCTTCTCTTGTTTACTTGAGATGTGTTATCTGGATGTTTGTTCCTTGCTAGTTGCCAAATGTATATGTTATTTTGTATATATATATATATAGAGAGAGAGAGAGAGAGATCACGCAGATCACGAAAGAAGAAAGAGAGCATATCAATCTAATGGTGGGAAAGGAGATCAGGAGATAATAATAATAATAATAATAATAATAATAATAATAATTTATTATTTATACCCCGCCCATCTGGCTGAGTTTCCCCAGCCACTCTGGGCGGCTCCCAATCAAGTGTAAAAAACAGTACAGCGTTACATATTAAAAACTTCCCTGAACAGGGCTGCCTTAAGATGTCTTCTGAATGTCAGGTAGTTGTTTATCTCTTTGACATCTGATGGGAGGGTGTTCCACAGGGCGGGCGCCACTACTGAGAAGGCCCTCTGTCTGGTTCCCTGTAGCCCCACTTCTCGCAATGAGGGAACTGCCAGAAGGCCCTTGGCGCTGGATCTCAGTGGCCAGGTTGAACGATGGGGGTGGAGACGCTCCTTCAGGTATACAGGATCATGCACAAAGTCATACATGTTGTCTGAATGGACAACCTATTTGTCTGATTACGCAGAAATAAAACTTTTATCTGCTTTATATATTAGCAGGGTGTGCCTGGTGCTTCCTGGTGCAACAGACTCTCAGTTTTGGTGCACAATTCTGAGTTCTGATTATTACATTTAAAGCCTTAATATTTTGACTCCAGGGTCAGGAAAGGATCATTGCTTCCCATAGGAGCCTGCCAGTTTTCTCAGATCTGCTTGGAAGGTTCTTCTACACTTGATTTCTAAATCTAGTGCATCCCAAGCAGATTTTGACCATTTGGGGAGGGCGAAAGCAGTGCTTGGATCAAAGGACCCCAAGTCTCTGTGTTAAGCTACATTTTGGTTCTTGTATTAAACCACAAGCTTCCCTGCCTATGTCACACTTTATTCTCTGCCTGCACTTAGGACTGCATACCAAGAAGCAATTGAACAGATGAGCACAGGCAGGCACCAGCATGCAGTGACAGAATTAAGTTATAGATCCAAGACGGCGGAAAATCAAGTTATCAGATTCTGCTTGCCAAGTGAAATTGAGATATTTTAAAAGCAAGAAAAAGCATAATCAAAGTTTAAAAATGACAGCAAAGCTACATCAAAAGATGAGTGAACACTATTATGTTATTACTCTAAAATTATTCCTCATACCTCTGTAGTTCTCCTTGTTCTGCAACTGAATCGTATTTTCCAATGTAATGCTGTTGGAAAGTCAAGTGGGCAGGGAAGACCAGACTGAACTTTTAAAGCCTTAATGGCTTGAGGTGAGGCCTCCTCCTCCTCCTCCTCCTCCTCCTCTCCCTCTGGCCATCCCACATGAATAATAGGATGATAGCAGACCCTCCATGTGTCCCTATTTTCCAGGGACAGTCCCATATTTACAGAATTCATCCCCGTTTCTGGTTTGATCCCAGAATGTCCCGCTTTTCCTTAGGACATCCCTATTTTCATCAGATAAATGTTGGAGGGTATGGTAGTACGGCCCTGCTTCTGTTGGAGTGTTTTGAGTCATGCAGCCTCCAAGCCAAAGAGATAAGTAACTGTATACCCTTTAGAAGACATCTGAAGGCAGCCATGCATAGAGGATTTTTTATGATTGATGTTTTATTATGTTTTTACATAAGTTGGAAGCCTCCCAGAGTGGCTGGGGCAACCCAGTCAGATGGGTGGGGAATAATAATAATAATAATAATAATAATAATAATAATAATGGAATAGGACATCCCTAGTTTCATCAGAGAAATGTTGGAGGGTATGTGATAAGATCCTATCCATTCTTAAGGAAATCAGCCCTGAGTGCTCACTGGAAGGACAGATCGTGAAGCTGAGGCTCCAATACTTTGGCCACCTCATGAGAAGAGAAGACTCCCTGGAAAAGACCCTGATGTTGGGAAAGATGGAGGGCACAAGGAAAAGGGGATGACAGAGGATGAGATGGTTGGATAGTGTTCTCAAAGCTAACAGCATGAGTTTGACCAAACTGTGGGAGGCAGTGGAAGACAGAAGTGCCTGGCGTGCTCTGGTCCATGGGGTCACGAAGAGTCGGACACGACTAAACGACTAAACAACAACAACAACATGTGATAAGATGCAATTTACTAGGAGCAGTATAGTGCTTTATCTCCCATTAATATGTCACATGAAGATACTACAAGAAAAAAGACTCACAAGAAGTAGTTAACTGGTATTTGACCGGTTAAATATATTTGGTCAACTGGCAAATAATGGCCATGATTTGAAAAAACAAAACAAAAAACCTTAACTTATTACAGCTAGGAAAAACCCCCCACAATATTTCAATGACCTGATACTTATTCTATTTTTTTAAGTTAATGATTGTTATGAAGCGACAATATTATTTTGCAATGATTTATTGAGGTGCAGTTTCTGTAAATGAGCAGTTCTTCTCTTCAATTTTTATTCCAGAGCAGGTGCGGATACCCTTTGGCCCTCCGTATGTTGCCAAAGTAGAATTTGGGAGTTGTAGTTCAGCAGCATATGGAGGCCCAAAGTTTCCCCACACCAGAAATAGAGGGCTTGGTTAGAAAGTAGGACCTATTACCATTTTATCACGGTAAAATTGTTCTGGGCGAGGCTTGAGTGACAAAACAACCAGTTACTGTTGAATACAAATTGTTTTCATTTTCCTGCCACTCTGCTTCAGTCTGCTCAGGAGCTGGGCCTGGTATAAAAGGACATTCTCAAAAGTCATTTGTCTCCATTGTCCCACATAATAGGTGCCAATTTTCAGCATGCCCACGTAAAGAAGCACCATGCTTTTTTACACATTCAAAATGTGTACATCTCTTTATGTGAGGTTTGAGGAGGAGGGCAATAAAAGAAGTTGCTGGTGCAGACAAAGCCAATTTATGATCATGGATGCCTTGAAGAGCACTTTGAAGCAACACCCTAGGAAACTCCCTCTGCCTTAAAGTCCCTCTGATAAACAATGTTGACAAGCAAACTGCGAAGGGGCTAATCTGTTAGCCATCCTTGAAAATTACCCTTTGGACATTCCCTCTTGCCCGGTGGCATAACGTGGGTTGCCCACGTCCGTGGTAGGACAAGTGTTGCACTCCTTGGTGGACTAGGCAGCTGGGGTGGGGGTTGCACCAGGGGGTCATGAGCTGAGTGAACGGAGCCCGCCTCCAACAGGCTCTTTGCCCACTGCCTCCATCCACCTGCCCACTAGAACAACCCACCCGCTGCCACACCTCAACTGCCAGGGCTCTGTGCCTGTCAGGATGCTGTCAGTGGCTCCTGGCTGGTTGCCCAAGGAAGTATAACAACAAGGAAAAGTTCCTTACCATCCTGTTTTATTTCAAACTTTACACAGAGAGGCTATAGGACCCAACCTCTTGGATAATGGCATTGTCCTGAGTGGATCTCCACCCACCGTCTTTCCCATTTCCTCATTTGTCATCATATCACCTCCTCTACAGGTGCTGCTACATGCCCTGTATCTTTGAGCTCTTTGCTCTCCTACTTTTAAGACTCGCTGGGTTCTAGGAGATGGAGGGTCTGGAATGCTTTCTAATGACAGCCTGTCAGCCAGCTGTTGTTCTGGTTCTCCCATGATTTCCCAACTTTCCCCCTCATCTGCCTCTGAGCTGTGACCTCCCTCAAATCCCTGTTGTAAATCTATACTAATCTATTCAAATCCCTGTTGTAAATCTATACTAATCTATTCCTCTTCCTCCTCCCTGGAAGGGTCAGGATGGGGAGGCATTCTCCACCACTCCTCTGCCCAGTCCCTGACACTGACTGTTGTGGGGGCATCTGTTTGTGCCCCCCAAAAATGTGTGCCTGGGGCCACTGGCCTTCTGGCCCCCCATGCTGCACCTCTGCTTTTGCTGTTGTCACAGATGGCACCACTTGACTTATTAAGAGATGGACAACTCCCAAGCAGGATTTTCAGAGACTGGAATTTGCACCTGAGTTATCCTTCTTCACCATATTTCCTGGTTAAAAAACAAAACAAAACAACGACAACCAGAATTACACAGGATGTTAGGTTAAGGTAAAGGATTCCTGGATGGTTGGGTCCAGTCAGCGGCGACCATGGGGTGCGGCACTTCTCTCACTTTCAGGCCGAGGGAGCCGGGGTTTGTCCACAGACAGCTTTCTGCGTCATGTGGCTTCTGGCACAATGGGACATCATGATGGAAGCCAGAGCGCATGGAAATGCTGCTTGCTGATCAGAAGCTTGACGGTTCAAAGCCCCGCCACGGAGTGAGCTTCTGTTGCTCTGTCCCAGCTCTTGCCAACCTAGCAGTTCAAAAGCACACAAGTGCAAGTAGATAAATCGGTACCGCTGCTATGGGATGTTAGGCTAGCTTCAAACACATAAGCAGAGCAATGGCGGACCAGGCCAATGGTCCACCTCGTCCAATATTCAGCTCTCACAGTGGCCAGTCAGAATGTGACAGCCCAGTCCCCACTCTCAATTCCTGGCAATGGGTATTCAGAGGCACAATGCCTCTGGCTGTAGAGGGAGAACAACATGTCAACAATGTTTTTAATGTTTGAAGTTTTTTAAATATTTTGTTGGAAGTCTCCACAGTCAGATGGGCAGCATATAAATAGAATTATTATTATTAAAGGGCAAGAGTAGATAGCAAATGCATATTCATGTTTGCTAAAAAGAATGTGTTTGTGTGCGTGTGTGGCCAATCTTTTTTCCTGAATCAACTTTTTGTCAGGCTGTCTTGGGTGCGATACACATTTACGTGGGACCAAGTTTCATTGAACTTATTGGGGTGGATTTAGGGCTGTGCAGGCAGTGAATAGGTCCTGGGAGCTGGGCTTGGGCAGGAGACATGAGGCTCTGACAGGGTCCTAGAGCCTTCCCACTTCCTTCCCAAAGCCTTGTTAGCACTTTCCAAGCTTTGGGAAGGATGTGGGTGGGCTCTAGGACTCTGTCAGAACCCTTGCATCTCCTTTCCAAAGACAGGTACCTCCTTACCAGCCTTTGGACTGAGGGGCAACAAAATTGACATCGCAGCATAATACCCAAGTCCGCCATTGGTCTGAGTAGGTATGCACACTGTAAATCTGGACTATAAAAGAGCAACACCGGACCTTCTGGAATCTTCTGTTCAGTCATCTGCTCAAAATACGACGACACAAAGTGCCCCCCAAAATAATAATTTCATATCTCCAAAATATATAAACTTGATCAACGTAACATTTCAAACATCTCTAGGATGTGTCATAATCCAAGTTCTATAATTCCCAATTTATGTGGTATCACATATCAACCACAGGACATTTTAAACAGGGTTTCTTTCAAGTTTGCCAATTGCAAGGTACTAAAAAGGGTGTTTTTTCATATCCATTGCCCAATATATTGTGGCACTGAGCTCTTAAATCTCTTTCCCGCTTGTTCTGAAATGACATTATTTTTATATTATCAAAGAAAAGTATTTGATAAATCTGTCCTATTGCTCCTTTGTTATTACTCTGATACATCAAGTGCTCACATTTAGTTAGGCTTTTGATTGGACCATAATTTTTGTCATTGCCACAGCAGCGTTCAATTTGAAAATATTGAAAAAAGCATGGTTCATCTGTCTCCCCGGATCTCCAGATTTTAACTCCCATCCCCTCCCACCTCTATTGCTCCCTCACCCTGCAAAATGCAAAGCAAATCTGGGAGTTCCTCCTCAGGCAAAATGTGTGTGTCAGTTGTCTGGGAGGGACTGGGAAAGAACCAGAACATTGGCCCTACAAAATGCTTCCTGCATCTAAATCTCAATGGCTCCGTGTCGAAGAGAAGCCATGGAAGAGCGACAATGCAATGCAAAGCTTTCTACACAGCAGAGCTTGCCTTGAAGGGAAGAAAGAACGAGCCTGTGAGCTGCCACCATCCAGCTCCCCAAACTGCCACCTCAGGGACTTATCAGAGTAACCATTAATCCACAACCTTCATCAACTGTATTTAAATAGAATTCCAGTTTTGTTTACCAAATGCCTCATCATTACTTTGATGCTCTGGGTGAGGGATAGCAGCTTTTTCCTTCACATTATTAAAAATCCTTGCTCGGAAGTGCTACCAAATATAGTTAATAGCAGACCTCTCAAGTGTTACTGACAGGAAGTGTCTAAATTTTAAAGCACTCAGATCTGGTAAAAATTATTGAGGAAGGATGCCACAGCAGAGAAGAAACAGCCACAATGTCTTATAAACAAGCAAATGAGGGCAACCTCGATAAAATAGCAAGGCTAAACATGCCAGTTTCTTATTTATACCTTAAGAAAGCTTTAATTCTTAAATCTCAGCACTGTAGAAGACTGGCAAAGCATGAGGAAGGCATAAAAAGGCCCCTAAACCTCCCCATTTTCTGCTTCTTGTTTCAGGATGTTAATTCTCTTTCATGTTGAAATTTACAGGACTCCTTTGAAGTCTTGGTTATTTCAAGAATGCTATCTACCCTCTTTTCCAATTATGTTTTAAATTCATTAAGTCAATTGGAAATTTGGGTTTTCAAGCCTGTTTTGATAGTGAATGCAAGAGACACAGAGTGCTGAAAGATCAATGGCATCATCTATTCTTTGGCTGACATTCTCAAGGACCATTGATTTCCACATGTGTGGAGGAGTTCATTGAAGATACATACGTGGTCACTAAAAGTGGAATGACCAAGTTCCTAACCTCTCTCAGCCCTCTCTGGGTGGATGACTTGGTGAATGCCAGTGGCATGTGGTGAAACTTTTTGTAGGGGAACAGTTACAGCCAGAGGTGCCAACTTGTGAGGGCAATGCGGGGAAGAGGAATACCGCACACATGAGCATTGTGCCTCCCTCTCTAAGCCAGACAGAAGCTTCCTGGGCTTTGGAAAGGAGGTGTGGAAATGTTGAGGAAAGTAGGAGAGGCTATATTAATTAAATATTATCCTTCCACATTCATATTAGTGAGCAGGTAGCAGAGCACATTCCCTTGCATGCTGCTGGAAGCAAGTTGATGGATTCATTAGAATCATTTAAGTTAAGCAATCCACTCTGGCTTTTCCTGGCAAATTTCCCCTTTATTTCCCTCTTAAAACAACAACAACAACAACAACAACAACAGCACAACAGTCTTCTTTAAAAGTAATGGTAATGTTACTTGCATTCAGTTCACAGTAGTATCCTGAAGGCTGGCTTTATCTTGTGGTTACAGTTACATTTATAGAGAAAAAAAGTCTGAGACAGGCCTCAGACTTTCTACCTTGTGGCTTCCATCCTCTGTAAGGATGAGCCATGTGGAAGATGGCAAAAGAGCCAAAGAAGTCCAAAAGAGGAAGATGGCTGTGTGACCAGTCCTTTTATAGGGTCTGCTAGGGTCATGCCCATCAGTCACACGCAGGGGGAGGATGCTCCAGAGCAGGTATGACCGAAAGTCCTCCCTGTCTTGAGCAACATTCCCCTGTGTGTCCACTCTAGGCAACAGGAAATGTTGCATTTGACTGCTACAGTGATGACACATCCCACAGGAGGCACCAAGGGAACATTTAGGGGACTAGCCTAGTCCCCCTAGTCCACACCACTGGTGAATGCAGCTACAAATTGGTGGTTCACATGAACCCCATTGCATGTAAGAGAGTTGTGGGACTAGGCTAGCCCCATTTCTACTTTTGATGTGCCCAGTGACCACAACCATGCGTGTGCATACACTGTCATATGATTCCCAAAGATATTCTTAGGATCAACATCCACTGGTGGAGGAAGAGGGGGATGGGGGAGCACACCACCCCCAACACCACAATCCCGGTGGGGTGCCATTGCGGCTGCCCCCCCTGCACTGGGCACCACGCCCCCACAGGTGGTGTGCCACACCCCCGGGACGTGCGCCAGCCACACCCCCGCCTGCTCTCCGCCCCCGGTGCCGGAGCATGAAGCTCCGCCACTGTCAACATCATCACATTGTGTCATTCTTTGAGGCCTTCTTGTACAAATAGATAGCTGCCTCCATGGCAGCCATCTTTCCCCCAAAGAATGGCTCTGGGGCACTCTCAGGTTGCTCAGTCCAGCAGGTGTGTGAGGCCTAGCAGTCCCTGCCAAATCTGAATGCTTGCATTTCAGCTGATTTTTCACCCAGCATACCAAATATCCAGCCATGGGCCACACAGTTAGAAAGCCTCTGCCTCCCAGGCCCATTTTCAGTCACTGGAAACTTGTTTTCTTTTCTCAGGCTAAGCAGGAAGAAACTATTATGGCTACGCAAGGACCTGGCACTGTTGATTGTGCAGCTGACACACAATACCAAAGGATGTTTGGGGACCTGGCACATCTGCTCCTTGCCTAAAATTTACAAGCCAATGAAATCTGTGAGAATGCTATATGGAATTGGGAGTGGATCCAATTCCTCTGATATAAGGTCATTATGCAGAGCAAAATTAGATGGCTGTAGAGAGCAGCTGATGTCCCTAGAACACCCATAAGTTTTTTTTAATACTGGACAAGCCAGAGGAAATCCCCTCCCCATTTATCCTCTAGACTGTAATAATAAAACACCCAAGCCAGGCACACAGATTAGCTTGCAGATCTGTGGATGGCAACGTGCAATTTCCTCCTGGATTTAAAGTTGTTCTTTGTGTCCTTGCTTAATGTCTGCCTAGACACATGGGCAGTCCTGCCCTGGTGCTGAGCTTCATAGCAGAACAGCTGATAATGAATGCAAGGAGCTCCTGCTAGAAGCGGGCAGTGCTTCATCCTCTTCCTTGAGCATTTGCTTCCGAATAGCTACGTCTCCAAAGTTGCTTGACTCAGTCAGTCTCTTGCTATGGGACAGGTGAACTTCAGTAGGCATTGCTTTAGACCAGTGTTTCCCAACCTTGGGTCTCCAGTTGTTTTTGAACTACAACTCCCATCATCCCTAGCTAGCGAGACCAGTGGTCAGGGATGATGGGAATTGTAGTCCGAGACCCATGGTTGGGAAACATTGCTTGAGACTGCAAGGATTACTGACCGAAGGCCATCATTTTGGGTGCCTTGAGGCAAATGTGCACAACTGCCCTGAAACATGACAGTCTCCTTCCAAGGGACATTCTCCTTCCCAGTGACCATTCTACCTCCTTCAGACAGACAGCATCACAATCACAATGGCCATCTCTTACCTTCATGCAAGCAGCTTTAACATGAGGTCACTATGGCCTTCGGTTACCTGAAGGAGGTCTCTCCTTCAGCCAGGCCACTTCAGCATGATGCCCAGTCTCTCTCCTTCAGGAAAGAAGCCATTTGGGCATTACTTATACAGTGGTACCTCGGGTTACAGACACTTCAGGTTACAGACACTTCAGGTTACAGACTCTGCTAAAATAAATTTTATTTATTTTATTTTGTTTCCGCTAACCCAGAAATAGTACCTCGGGTTAAGAACTTTGCTTCAGGATGACAACAGAAATTGCACCGCAGTGGCGGCGCCACGGCAGCAGGAGGCCCCATTAGCTAAAGTGATACCTCAGGTTAAGAACAGTTTCAGGTTAAGAACGGACCTCCAGAACGAATGAAGTTCTTAACCCAAGGTACCACTGTATAAAATCACCACCACCACCACCACCACCTGTGGCATGAGATCACAGCAGTTAGTTTCCCACCTTCAAGGGTTGCAATGGTCAGCCCCTCCTTCAGGCAAGAGCTTCAGCATGAGGTCACAATGTCCAGTCTCTCTCCCTCAAGCAGCCATGCTCCTTCAGGCAAGCAACATTACCATGACAGCATGGGGTCACAATGGCCAGTCTTTCTCTTTGAACATCAGTGCAAGGTCACAATGACTAGTCCTTCTCTTTGGTGCTGGCAGCATCAACATTAGCCCACAATGGCCAGTATCCTTCTCTCCATGAAATGAGCAGCAGAGGCATGCTGGGACACAGCCTTCTCTCTCTATCCTAGTTTCAAGCTCCAGAGAATTGGATCTCTCCCCCGGTGGCAGTAATTAAGCAGATCAAATGGAAGGAGCGTTCTTACTGGGTAAGTTCTTTAATAATCACAGGGAGAGAGAAAGGAAAGCATAGCACGCTAAAATATGGCGTAGCTCCCAGTAAAGGTTCACCCCCTTCATCCCCATTAATCTACGTCACTCCTACGTCGGGTAATCTGGGCTTGTTGCCATTGCGGTTTCTGTTCCATCACTTTCCAAGCCCATCTAGTCTAAGGCAAAGGGGGGGGGGGGCTTCAGGGATGCTATCCAAAGACACTGAATCAGCCAGCTGTCCCTCTCCTGGTGTCTGCTCTTCTAGTTGCTCCTCACCCAGTATTTCTCAGCTTTTCTCTTCTAGACTTTGCCCTTCTGCAAACCACTGTTCTAAATCAATACTGTCCTCCTGCCCTTGGGAAGCTTCAGAAAAGAGGGGAGCTCTCCCACCATTCCTAATTAGTCAAGTCCCTGACATCGAGGCAGGCAGAAGGAGGATCATGTGTACATCAGCACTTCCTCATAGAGGTAAGTATATGTGTGCACAAAAGAAATCTCTCTTGCTCCCTTTCTCTCTCTCATTGAGGTGGGCAGCAACACTGTGTGGGCACGTTGATCCCTGTTGTTTGGTGACCCATCCAGAGAACTCATTTAATTGGGAAGAGCAGCGGTGTAATAGACAGACAGATAGTTGTGGCCAAAGAAGCAGCAGCTGAAGATACAGGGGAGAGTTGGCTTCTAAGCAACCCCGATGCTATAAGTTCCCCAGGAAACTCTAGCACCAAAATAAGTTGATAGAAGGGAGGCTGGCACATGGACGTTGGCAACACCTCAGCTATATCAGGGCAACGATTCGCAGAGTCGGCCAGATCTGAGCACAGTTAGAGAGTCAAAGCGGTAGACTGAAAGTGAGCAGGTGTAGACAGTGGCATGACACCCCAAGTCAAAGGGAGTCCTCATTTGTAGTGCCTGCCTCCTGGGTGGAAGATGTGAGGCAGGGAACAGCAGCAAGCTATAGGTGGATCAGTAGCTTGTTTGCCCAACAAGCTACCTCTTCTTGAGAGACTTGAGAGGAAATGGTAGGGGTGGGAGACAAATCTTGGGCGCTGGGAGAGTCTGGCCTCTGAACACTGGGTGGGATGGGGATACACCTCTTGGAATGGGATCTCCTGGAACACCTCCTACCTCATTTTGCATTTAAATGAATAGGTGAGGAAGGACACAGATAATTTAAGCATCTGATCTGCTGCTGTTGTTGTTGTTTAGTCGTTTAGTCATGTCTGACTCTTCATGACCCCATGGACCAGAGCATGCCAGGTACTCCTGTCTTTCACTGCCTCCCGCAGTTTGGTCAAACTCATGCTGGTAGCTTCGAGAACACTGTCCAACCATCTCGTCCTCTGTCGTCCCCCTTCTCCTTGTGCCTTCCATCTTTTCCAGGGAGTCTTCTCTTCTCATGAGGTGGCCAAAGTATTGGAGTCAGGATCTGTCCTTCCAGTGAGCACTCAGGGCTGATTTCCTTCGGAATGGATAGGTTTGATCTTCTTGCAGTCCATGGGACTCTCAAGAGTCTCCTCCAGACCATAATTCAAAAGCATCAATTCTTTGGTGATCAGCCTTCTTTATGGTCCAGCTCTCACTTCCATACATCACTACTGGGAAATTAGGAGCCAGTAAAAGGGAGGTGTTGCTCAGGTGGAAGATTAGATCAGAGTTTTCCAAACTGTGTGTCACGACACGTTGGTGTGTCGGCTGCAGTGTGTAGGTGTGTCGCACAAACGCTCCCTGCGCTCTTCCTGGGGCTGGAAAGGGTTAGTTTAACCCCTGGTTCCCTAGTAAAATTGAATTGCTGTGTCACAAAATGATGCAGAACTGAATTACTGTGTTGCGAAATGATGCATGTCCAAAAAAGTGTGTCACTAACTTGAAAAGTTTGGAAAGCTCTGGATTAGATTGTCATTACATGCCATATAGCTTTAATCAGATCCTTTGAGTCAATACACTTCTGATCTTAATTCCATTTACATGCTTATTCCAGGGTGTAGGGGGGAAATCTCTTTCCATAGTGGATGGTAATATGGACGTAGAAACAGAGTGTGAAAAAATGGATGCCTCTGATTTTTAACCTTTCTTCCCTGCATGTATTTCACAGAGGTAAGAAGTAATTTAATCTAAAATTATTGTGACTACAAATTGGGTGCTGCAGAGAAATTTTCTCACTTGAATTACCCATCTACGGCACAGAGGGGAACCTCTAGCTTTCCTGATGTTGTTGTAGTCCACTTCCAGAAACCCCAACCATCAACAAATGGAGAGCCACATGTTCCTCACCCTTGCTCTAGGACTTGCTCATCTGGCTAAGTAGCAATGGGCACAACCCACATGAGAGAAGTGTTTTGAAGTCTCACAGATCAGTTTGATAGGAGAGTTAAGCACATGTTGGAAAATTTCTCATTGCATTCAACAGGACTGAAAACTGCATAACCTTGGCTGGATCATGCCAAATGCATGTCATATTTTTAAATGATTAGCTATATTAAAATCTTTATGCCAATGAAAATTCATCTGCCAATGTCAAATGTGGCACAATGGGGAAATTAGCAGATTTCTCTTGAGGAAGCTAAAATATTGACCATGGCTAACCAATTCATATTGAAAAGGATATCCCATTATAGTTAAAGAGTGCAGGCTAGAGATCAGTTAGGAACCAGTAACTTAATATTACATTAACTCTTTATGGGCAAAAAACCCATAGTTAACAGACCTTCCTCTGTGATACACACTTTGCCTGATTATATTAATAATGGGGGGGGGGTGTCAATAAATCAATTTCTTGCCATTTAGAGTTAAGACAGGCTCCACTTTCGGTGTGATGGCTATCACCCACAATAGAAAATTAAGAGAAAGAAAAAAGATATGGTATTGCGTCAGGCAGATCCTACTTTTTCAACTCAGTTTCCACACCGGGTTTATTTGAGCCCTGTTCACCTGCTTCTTGTTTGCAGGGTAATTGCATGTGGACTTGGGCGCAGGCCTTTGCTTTTTAGAGCCATTTCTGATATCACATCTGTTTCATGGGAGAACTGTGCTTTATGCATGATGGTCCATAATAAAGCGCTCCTGCTTGCATGCTGGGGCTCCATGCAAACAGGACACTGATAAGTTCAGGGATGCTGATCGTGCAGAGCTCTCAAAAAGGGAGCAGGAGCTCATCCTCTGAGTTTTGAGCAGGTGGCACTGTGCTCTCAACCACTGAGCCTCTTGGGCTTGCCAATCGGAAGGCTGGCAGTTCAAATCTGTGCAACAGGGTAAGTTCCCATTGGTATGTCCCAGCTACTGCCAGCCTAGCAGTTCAAAAGCACACCAGTGCAAGTAGATAAATAAGTACAGCTGAGGCGGGAAGGTAAACAGCATTTCCGTGCACTCTGGTTTCCTTCACAGTGTTCCATTGCACCAGAAGTGGTTTATTCATGCTGGCCACATGACCTGGAAAGCTGTAAGTGGACAAATGCCGGCCCCCTTGGCCTGAAAGCGAGATGAGCGCTGCAACCCCATAGTCACCTTTGACTGGACTTAACTGTACATGGGTCCTCTACCTTTTACCTTTATCTTACATAGTGTGTGATAGTTCAAGAAAGCAGATGCAAAGTTGCAGTGGGTGGGGCTAAAATTCTGGCCCTCATTTCAAGTCAACATTAGCTCTGCTGTACACACAATGAATGCCTGAATACAGCTAAGCCCACTGCCTTTGGGTGCTGAGCAAATTGGAATATTTAATGATAAATGCTCAGTTTTAGAGATGGTGGGAGTATTCACAGCTAGGCATGTAGATAAATAAAAAAAGAGTGCATTTGGCAGCGATGGGTTATGTTTTCATCGTAACAAATGATTACTAGACACAGCACAGCATCAGTAAGCACAGTGTGGTGGATATTGATTTTAACAAAAAGGGAAGGTTGCACCTTTTCTGCAACTGACGTTTGTAAGCAAAGCTATGATATCATTCAGGAGAACTGTGATTTGGTACAACAGATCTAGAATACTGTCTAGTGAAGACATAAAGCTTAGAAATGGGTATATGTCCTGTGTGATGGACTGTCATTTCTTCTCTCACCATGCTCCCGTATTTAAGTGGTTCCAACTTCAAACAAAATAAACCAAAGCAACTGATTGTCCAAGGGACCATGTCAAAATTACTATTGTGTAGTTAAAGCAAATTCCTAAATGCTTGCAAGAAGTCTATCTATCTATCTATCTATCTATCTATCTATCTATCTATCTATCTTTCTATCTATATCTATCTATCTATCTATCTATCTATCTATCATCTATCTATCTCATTATAAAACAGTTGATAAAACAGTTATCGTTGAGGAGTTTCTACAGCACTCCACAGAGGAAATCCAGAAATAATGTACGTTGCACTTTTCTCTCTTTCTAGTACCTGTTGGTGATGATGATAGCTGAACACAAGGGGATGGGCTGTGTCATAGTGACACTCTATTAATGGTGGCCACTGAGAACAATTACGCGGGAAGTGATAACAGCAATGTTTCTACACAGACTCCTATCCTTATTAAAGGAATAATTGCTATTTAATGAGCTCCTATTTTCACTAATGGCAGGAGATTAAAGCTGCTAGCCACCAGGTGAATACTAATGAAAATTCCTTAAGCAAATTAGATTATCGTTGCTTTAATTTTAATATGTGGCCGAACACACCGTTTGTTCTTGTCTCCGTCGAGCTAAGCACAAAGCGCTTGCTCTCGCTTTGTACATTCCTTGGCTAGACTTGACTTGGGAGGGGAAATAATATTACAGTCATGACCAAATTTTGCCTAAAGCTCAATTCCAAGTACATTAGGAGGGCCTGCTCCTTGAGCAAAACACTGCAGGAATTTCGGGGGAAGTTAAGAGAACTGCAGTAAGTTTATCTTAATTGCTCAGGGACGATCCACTTGTATAGTTACACAGTACTTAGCAGTTAGATAGTGCTTGCAAAAGTGTGCAGAGCATGCTATTTTGTGATCCTTATTTATTTATTGAGTAGACACAAACCTTGCTTTCAGGAAAGCTACACAAAACGGCTTAAAACACTTAAAACCAAAACAAGATTTCAACCTATAACAATAAAACATTCATTCAAATAAACATAACCCTCAACAGCCATCAAGAAAATAGGTCTTCAACTCTTGATATCCCTCTTGACAGGGGCGAGGCCTGCGGAATCTCAAAAAGAAATGAGTTTCACAATTGTGGGGCCACTGCTGAGAAGACCCTTAGCAGTGCTTGCTAACCTGGGCCTCAGCTACATTAGTAAAAAGAAAACATTATAAATGTGTTAGAACCCTGTGACACCAGAGGGCGCTGTAGAGCTGAAATCATAATTCTATGAAATTTTCCATTGTGAGCTTTAGAATGGTTCTTTTCTAGAGCATTTTCAGTGTTCTTTTAATAGCAGTGTAGATGCAGCCCTGGTCATCCGCCCTGGTGGATACTTAAGCAAAAGCTCTGACACAGATCTTGGGACATGGGTAGGATGGTATGGGTGCAGACAATCCTTATAGCAGCCGGGTACCAAACCATTCAAAGGTCTAAAGGTTATAACTAGAACTTTGAATGGGGCCAGGAAATGCAATGGCAGCCAGGCAACTGATGTGATATGCTCCGATCACCTGAGGCCAGCCCAAAGCCGAGTGCCTCCTTACCTGCCTTTGGGAAGGCAGGGTGTCAGGGATGATTGGTGAGTGCTAGAAGAGATAAGAGTCCGGGAATCCAGCCATATTTACAAGATTTATTGGTTTCTTCTTGCTATGTACATGGAGCTCTGAGAGTCAGCCTGCATCATGGTGAGTCAGTTGCAGAGACTGAAGAAGCTTTCGTTTTCTTCCAGCATATCCACTTCCTGAACCCAACCCCTTTCCTTCCTCTGTTACGAGAGTGGCTGGGCCCCGGAAGCTGCTCCCCCCTCTCTGATTCATTGCTTCCTGACAGCCCTTTGTCACCCTCCTCGTCCGAGGAAGTACAGCTGCTAAGTAACGGAGGCTTATCTCTGTAAGTCCCCATTCTCTCCCCCTTCTCTGCCTCCAACTCCCTGACACAGGGTGAGGGTGAGGGGTGGCACCAAATTTTGGCCTTGCCCAGGTGCCATAGTACCCAAATCCACCCCTGCCTCTGCTCATTCACCCATGCTGTTCCGTTGCTCCTCTCCTTCAATCCTGCCGGTCTTGAGTGCTTCCCTCACCCTGGAACATGCACAGTCCATCACCAGCATGACAATGGACTAGTACAAATATAGTATATTTTTCTCATAAATCCTGCCAATAAATTACTGCGTGCTTTCAAACAGTAGGAACTCTCCCCGCCTCTCTTAGCCATCTTTCCGTAATGCCCTTTGGCCTTCCAAAATGACAGGCTCTAATCCCGCTTAGCTTCTAAAATGAGAATGGAGCTTTTCGGAAACACACATTTGCATGGTTCGAGTCCCGACAGCCATCTTGCACATTTGGATCCCAAACTTTTTTGCTTGGAATTTCAGCGAGCAAAACAACAACAACCCCAAAACAAAACTTTACCAGAGCTGTTGAATCTGCCTTTCATTTCCCATAGGTGATGGGGGTAAAAGTTGACACCACAGGTAGTAACTGGCAATTCAGATTAAGATGCCTCATTTAAAGAAATTGCTCCTTGGATGAATGGGTACCTTGCAGGGAGAAAAAAATAAAATTCAAGGACCATTAAGTTGGCATATGTTTGACCTGAAACAGCAGCTCTCTGGGAACCACTGTAGGAGCTGGCATTAAGAAGTCTACTTTGGAAAGACTTCAGGGTAAAATAGTTTTCCTCTGCCAAGGATGATCTTGGCCTTAAAAATACATTACACCCATTGCTTAATTAGTGTGAAGATGTGATTGCTGGGTTGTGTTGTTTCTGTTGTTTTTAATTGCTGGCAGGAAGGTGGGGGAAGGAGCTTCTATGGTCAAGCAACTAAAACAGGGAACATATTGCAGGAACATTTTCATTTATTGTAACAAATGCTGCTTATTGAAAGTTAAGCTGAAGACCCACATGCAACATTCAGTTAAAAATTCTGTGTGGCGCATCGGCATGCTCCAAGTTTCCCCAGACCCACGCCACTTGATTGACTGCCTGTTATGGTCCCGGGGGCTAACCAAGAGGCGAGGTCCGAGTCCAGTCCGAGGTCGAGGGTGCAGTATGGAGGCAGTTCGTCAAAGCTGAAGCTGGGTCCAAGGCAGGGAGTCGGGTGAGGTCAGGAGCTCCGGCAGAAAAGCAGGACAGGGTGCAGGCAGGAACAGGCTAGCAACAATGTTGCTCCTGCAACTTGGGACTGGGCTGGCTGGCTTTTATCTGCCCCGAGGCATAGGGCGGCCCCGGTCCACAGGTGACTCGCCTCTCCTGGCCTGGAGGCGAGCACTCCTCCTGCAGGAACTTAGTTCCCTCCGCCTCTCTGCCCTGAGCCTCTGCAGCTCAGGAGAGGCTGGAGGGTTACCGGACCCAGAGGCAACCTTAGCTTCCTCTGACGGGGCTGAGAGTGGAGCACCTGCAGGCAATGGGTCCTCCATCCCCTCAGGAGCCAGAGCAGACTCAGCTGGTGCCTGCACCTGAGGATCCAGCACAGGTGAGGACCCTTCAGGCTCATGCCCCAGCCCTGGCTCAGCTGGTTCTGGAGGTGGGGAATCCTGTGCAGGCTGGGATTCCTCAGGTTCAGCCTCTGAATCCGATTCCCAGGCCATCACACTGCCACTTAGAGGATGCAGGGGAACTTGCCAGCACAATGTGATGTGCCTACTTTAACTAAATATTGTGCAGGGCTTGATTGCATATCACTTTGGGTCGCCTTGGGCAAGATAAAGTGACAAGCAAATTTAACGAATGATGCTGCTGCTGCTGCTGCTGCTGTGTCATTTCTAGGACTGTTTATCTAGTCCAGACAAATCCTGGATCCTGAACCAAACTGGGCCAATTTGGGCTGATCCAGGATTTTGTCTGGACAGAGTTGAGGAGATCATGGGTCACCCAAGGTCAGGTTAGGCCAAAGGTGAAGGGGTGAGGGGAGGAGAAGGAGACCGTGCAGGTAAGAGTCTCTCCCTGTGTGCCTCCTCCCCTCCACCTTGCTATCAATCACAATTAATTCAGGTTTAAAACCGTGTGTGTGTGTGTGTGTGTGTGTGTGTGTGTGTAGAAGACACAAGAGGAAAGAGCCTCTTGCATATTCAACAAATACCACCTATTCAAATAGCGTTTAAACTCCTAATTAAACATTAGAAATGGGTAAGGCCCACAATTCTGTTTTGAGATTGAGTTGGCTTACGGCCTCACCAGGACCACTGAAACAAAATTGGGATGCCTTGCACCACCATAGTGGTTTAGACCTAAGAGTTCTTCCGGTCCAGATTCTAGACTTGAGTGTCTGTCAGGGACCGTGCTGAGGAGGGCTGCACTGAGGAAGAACGGTGGGAGCCACCCCCTCTCCCTGATCCTGAATCTTCCCAGGAGCAGGAGGACAGTACAGATTTGGAACAGTGGTTTGCAGAGGGGCATCGTTCAGAAGGCAAAAGCTGGAAAATACCGGATGGGGAACAGCTAGCAGATGAAACACTAGAAGAGAGAGAGTTAACAGATTCACAGTCTCTGGATAGCATCCACCCCCCTTCTCCAAAGTCACGGAGAGCTCAGAAAGTGTCAGAACAGAACAGAGGGAGCAAGGTCAGATTACAAGATGTAGGAGTGACGTAGATTAATAGGAACGGACGGGGGAGTGTCCCTTAATTGGGACCACCACCATTTCTAGGAAATGTGTTCTCTCAATGTGATTATTAAAGATTCTAACTGGTAAGGTGTTCCTTTCATTTGATCTCTTATCTACTGCCACGGGGGGGGGGGGGGAAGGAGCCAATTCCCCAAAGCCTGACAGTGGCTGAAATACTACATCAGCTTGAGACCATTTGGGCCCCGGCTTATGGCCTCGTCTCCATACTTCTCGGTGAGCCCCAGTCACAAATGCTCAGATGCTGATGCTGTTCAATCCATCCTGCTTCCCATTTGGCCCAGTGGCCTCCCAATCTGTTCCACTTGCTATTGCTGCATTCAGGGTTGGCTCCTTGGTTTTGTGGGCTGGTTAGCATATAGTGGCACCCCCGAGGCGAATTCCCTCTACTTCAGTAGCACCGTGTTATACAAGTGACCATAAGAGTTGGTAGAGCTTTCACATAAGGTATGTACCGGTCTTTGATTCATGTAAGTGACATTTGCTGGCAGGAGGAAGAATGTCCACTCCTTTGTGGCTCCAGCTTATGCAGGGAGAAGTACTAAAAAATACATACAGGGCATGTGGGGGAAATTCCTCAACGGGACTTTAATTATTTCAGCGAATATAATGTCTGCAATAAATTGGAAATCAGACAATCTAACGGCAAGCAGAAAGTTATGTATGGAGGGAAGAATAAGTGTGCTCATATTAAAAAAGGGAACCCTCCACATCCCCATAGCCCTTTCAGTCTGGAAATCTATAGGGATATTTCAGTCCTGCCAGGTACTCTATTC